AGTTTTAATTAAAATATTGAATTTTATATGTTCTAAAGTATTATTTGGACATTCAAGTATACAGTAGGTATTTACAATTTTCTTAACCTACAAAGAAATAATAAAAGTAATTAAAAATCAATAAAAAGAAAATTAAAGCAAATTTAAAAAGATTGGTCCCTGTGGCAGTGTACCTTTTATGCTGGCAGCAATTCCTCGCTGTATTGCAATACTTATTCGTTGAGCCAGAAAGGAACTAGCTCTGGGGTCACGTACTATCTACCAGGCGCCAACTTAAATCTTTAATTATTTTTTATAGATTGTAATCAATAAACATTTTGCTTTATTTGGAGATTTCGATACAAGGATAATTTTTTAGAATCGCTAATTCTGTCTTAGTTTGAAGGCGAAACAGTCAAATTTTGGTTGTCGCGAGGTCACGGTACGAATTTTCATACAAATTGAATGAACGAAATCTGATTACCGCTAAGGTCACGTGGAAACATAAATAAGAGCTCATGGTGGACCCCCTGATTTGCGACGCAGTGGCGAGTGTTCAATGGTATCCAAGGAATCTTGCCAAAAAACCTTTAACATGATAACCTAACTTGATGAATAATGTGAAAGTGCATCATCATTTAGCTATCCCGTGATAAATGTTACAGCTTTTACATCTAAAGAGAATATAAGTGAGGGAAATAATGTATATGTATATATTCACTCATCAACAACACTCCGTCGAAATTAAGCTCCTAATGATATACCTACTAGTTATTTTACTCCATAACGCTTTTTATTTAGATATATTACATACAGATGACCTTCAATAACACTTAATTTTCGACCTCCGATCGAATAGCCTTTTGCTACGAATTCTGACAGTTATTCTTTTTACAAAGAAAAATAAATACTTAGAATTTTATAATATAATAAAATTAGAATAGATTATAAATCCAAAATCTAAGTAGTTTTAGACCTACTCAATAGGATATATTCGAATACTAAAGCATAATATAGTGTACGTTAGTATACTATATTGTATTGTGTATATGGAATGTTATAACTTATGTGTCTTAATAAGTCAGAAAATGTATTACACTATTTACCAATTCTTTCTCGTATTTCCAGTGCTCGTGAGATTTTCGTTGATATTCGAAAATATATGAGAATGAAATTCAAGTTTTTCGGTTTCAGTAACATTAAATTGTAATAAATACATTACTTTAACACCGTGAGTCATATTATTAACCATATAATTAGCAAACAATACTACTCATTGTCCTTTTTGACAACCAATCAATGGAAATCCGATAAGATATTTGCGAAATAGGAGCAAACAAAACCTCGATGGAGATGTAAAAACGTGTTGTGTTGACATGTCAGGATACTTCCCGCGCTTTGTGCCTCCCTCGCCCGATTCCCGATCAATCCTTTATCGATCTCTCCATATCTTATTTCGTCAAACAAAAACCTACAATTGTCTTTTTTCTTAATTTTACTTTGGCCGTTAGCGGAACAAAGTAGTCGTGAAATACTCAGCTTTTAATTTGGCTTTTTTTTTTAAATTTATAAATGATAGGCCTTTCAAAAGGATTTCTAAATACATATTAATAAAATAGTAGCGTATAATCAATAATATACAAATATTACATATTTCAAAGAGTAAATGTTCTGATGCACAAAGCATATTTTTGCATATAGTTTTAGTATTGCATTAAATATGACACTCTGCACGTCACCAAGCGTAGATATCCCGTAGCAGCTTCGTAGCAGCCTAAATATAATGATTTAAAATAATCAACGACAGCGGCCTTTGTTACTACTGTACAGCTTGCCAGCCGATGGGTATTTAAATTTATATGTAATAAATGTTAGGAGTATAGTATAGTAAATGTATTAGTCAAGCTGCACTAGATAACTAAATATACGAGAAAGTGAGACCTTAGAATTTAACAACCCTACGGATCCCTAATGCCTACAGATGTACTATAACACATACGTATATATAGTGAATATATTAATAAGTACGGGATGTCTGCACCAAGAGACCTAAGATTACTCACGGAGCACTATGGGTAGGATTAGACGTTCAAGGTAGGATTTCTTCAAAGCTATCGGGAAGGCTGTCATTTGGAACATGGTGTAATGGTTGCAGCTCTTTACAAACGTTATGTAAAACAAAAACTTGGCGATTAAAAAGAGTGGCAGAGAGTTTATTGCCAGTTATTCTCTTCCGTTCTACGCCCTTGATTTGAGAACTGGCATAAATGTAAAATTAGAAGCATTTTTTACGTCAAAAAAAAGTATATTTCTATTTTTTGACGTTCATAAGTGTACATTGTGTTACCTATATGAATAAATGATTTTTGATTTGATTTGATTTGATTAGATTTGCTGACTAAGATAGTTGCCAAGGGCTTGAAGGAGGCTTCACTACTTTGAGAGGAAGCAAGAAATTAATAAGACTACTAATAGACTAATAGGTGATTCACACATACATTACTCTTGTGGGCTGTCGGCTTTCACCCATCTTCAGCTATTACAATTTCCAACAGCCACGTGAGCCATGTCAGAAGTTGGTCAATGTTCAATTGAACTCTGAAGAACTACTGTTACAGATTTAGTTACTCGTGCAATTATATCAAAAACATCAAATTGTGTCGACGTACTTCCAAGTACCTATTTAAAAGCTACCTATAAATATGCCAAGTATATGTAAAATCTGTCAAAATCTTTTGTGATAATACAATTATGTTAAAAGGGTGTTGAAACGTCATGTCATCTATTGTTGAATTAATAAACCTTTGTGTTGTGAATAGCAGATGCATATTGCATACTAAGTATTATTTTCCTATGTAACTTCCGACCCTCGAATTTTAGGAAGACATTTTACAATAATAATATTTTCTATTCACACATTATACACAGATTCAGTTTCTAGAAAATCTATAAAGAAATGTGAACCCTAAATGGAAAATAGTTTACATTAAAAACTTGGCCCTTTATTAAATAACGTATGAACCAAAAAACTGAAACCTAATCAACGTGCTCCTAGGACTTGGGACATAAAAAAATGCCCACTCACTTATAAACAAACACAAAATTTAACATCTAATGCATGACATCAACTTATTTAAATATAATTATTTGTTGAGACATTATCGCGACAATCTGCCGTTTTGTCCCCCGAGGGAGCATACAAAACCTCCGCCCGGCTCCCACTATAGGTACATAAAGCTCTGATAAGCTGATAACGTCGTAACTGACGGCTACACACTATTGTACGCACGCCATTTAACCCTGCAGCTGTTTATTTATGTCGTTATTAATTTTATTAATGGCGCTTGTTATGTTTTTTTTATAATAGGGGACGTTTCTAATCTCTATGTAAAGCTCTTTAATAATACAAAATTTGTATAGAAACGAATACGACGTGTTATAAATGTAATATGAAAATATAGAAAATGGTATTTGGATCTGAAAACTCTTTGGGGCAGGTGGAAATTGGCATCAGAAATCGAATAATTCGTTTTACTATCAACATGAATACTATATTTGTACGGTTCCTGGGTCAACGAAATGCTTTAAATAATAGAGGACACTATTTCGCTTTATATTTCCCACTCGCGTACAACAAAAGAATAAATACTTAATGAAAAATGAAACGAAATGCTATGCTGTGGTTATAATGCTGAAGAGGGTGCCTACGTCTGGTTATACTCTCGGGGCGGAACTTTGCCAGTTTTGATGGCCAAGGTTATAAAATTAAGAAAACTCAAGTCAGCAAAAAGCCCAGCCTTGGCTCGAACAATTTTAATAAATGATTATACATTATACCTAATATCATAGAAGACGTACCGTACTTTACCTTTTTCTTAACTGTCTGAAATTATTGACAGAGTGAAAAAATTTGCCGACGCAGCGATAAATAGAAAATGTATGTCACCCCAGTATATAATAGAAGGAATCATGATCCTCCCACGCGTCAATAACACGATAAACGCTAAATTTCTACGCGCAAAATAAAAAGTCAGCAAAGCTCGCGACATCTGGTGAGAGTGATGAGTGAGGGAACAAATTGCCAATCAATGGGATGATTGAGTTAAACCCCGGCCTCTCCGCGTCTCTTGGTGCCCTTCGATTATTACTAAATTGGACAATTTCTCTGCGATAACGACACGCCTTGAAAGTATGCCTGTTCGCTCCACAAGTAATTTAGATATTCATAAAGCATACTCCCAACATAAAATCGACATAAACATCAACATAAATGTTATGTCTATGTCTAATAATAATAATAATTTATTTATTGCAAGAATATGGTACAAATATGTGTAAGGTGGTACAATCGTAAGTTCGCATATTCTGACACACACAATGGCTAGCAAATTTGTCTTTAAAGGAATTTTACATTTTACATTATTAGACAAATGAATTCGTAAATTCTTATATTATTTGTATCGTACATATCATATCATACTTTATTAAATTTATATGAACTACAGTGTCTCACGCAAATAATCATTTATTGAATAGTAAATTTTTCAAAAATAATACACTAAGTCGCTTTTTAAAGACTCTAGACGGAAGATCTTTTAATTCTTTTGGCAATTTATTGTAAACCTTAATTGCCATACATAAGGTGTTTTTCCTAAACAGTTCCAGATTGATTTTTGGCACAGCCAATTTCTCCCCATGTCTACTTCTTACTTCGACTTCTACATTCGACTTAAAACTATGTATGTTTCTGTGCACGAATAGGGATATTTAGAGATAAAAATTTGAGCATCTTAAATAAAGGTACGCAACTATCAAGACAGTTTACTCCACAAATTTCTCTAATACATTTCTTTTGAGCCTTAAATTCCCTATTTACTTCGACTGAAATTCCCTAAACTATAAACAATACTTAACCGGTAAAATAAACGGTACAAGGTACTTGACTTGTGTAATTGCACCCTCACAGGCAAATAGTTAACCATGTCGATTCAGAAGGAAGGTGCCCGACATATTTCAGCAAAATGTCAATATCGAGTATGTGGAAGAAATAAGAGTGTATTTGTAAGCAGCGAGTCAGCGTAACGATATCATTTGATATTCAAGTTGAGGGTGCTCCACGCCTCATTGCGGTGAGCTCGCGTATAATCTCACATATTATGGTAACCGCTCTATGTATTTCTGCACTTTTTGTATATACATACGAGTATATTGTCCCAAAACTTAACTGCGTAGATTTAAAAAAAGGTTAAATTAAATTACGCTTTAAAGAAATGTTGAACTAGTTCCGGTAATGTCACTACTACATTAGGTATAGTATTTATTCACTATCGTTGAACTACTAATGATATTTTAAATAAATCCATTTAAACCCTACTCAATTAAATAACTTCTATTACTGCTAAGCGAGTGAAAGAATACCCTTTGCCCCGATGCCCTTAACTGGAAATAGAGTTGAACTATTAGAAAGAATTCCTTCAATGGCTCGCGTCGCAAACGATTGGAGACTTGAGGCTCTCGAGGCGGGTGCTGGCGGGGGTGAAGTAAGCGGCGCTGACAGCTGCGGGGCGGGGGAGGACGTTACGTGGAGGACCCTCGACAGAGCACTCTTTAGGAAATCGTAAATCGTCGGATGTGAGTGCGACGCGCTCCAACGCAGAGCTACGAAGTTTCGCCACCTTCAGCAATAAAAAAATCTATATTAAATGGTTACAATAACAATTATTCATTGACAAAGATATCTAAACGTATGCCCTAAAGCGTTAACTTATTACCTGCTGTGTTGCTACAGAAGTGCTACGTATGTAGCCGTTACGTCTACACGCCTGCCTTCGAAGCCTTTTTCATTGGACAGTTATAATTAAACTTATATTTATGAATATTAAGGTGAAATCTAGAAAATCTAGTAAAGAAGAAAAACTAGTTGTTACAAGAGATTCTATTAGAGACAAAAGTCGTACGCTGGTAAACTGTATATTTATTGTATTCACTTTATTAGGCAGATAGCTGTTTGAGGTGAAATTGGTTTCGTAGCTCTGAGCCCAGGAAGGGGTGGGGGAGACAGACCATTAGGTGTGGCACAATAGCTACAGCGGCCACAAGAACTGGCGACGTTTTATTAAACGATTCGCTTTTATATCGTTATTAACACACCTACGCACCTACGACAGTTTTGTTTTATTTACACTTCTCTCTAGTGTAGGTTAAGTAGCATAATTGAACACCAAGTCACGCTGATGGTTCACATGCTCTAAAACTGTGAGCACAATGTAATAATTTAACTCGGAGAAAATTAATTTTGTCATTGTTCGTGTTCTCTGCAGTCATTTGTGACTAATAACATAACGCCTGCTCGGGACACTTGACCGACTTCCATTCTAAAGATAGACGAATTGAAAGTGAATTGTAATTGTTAAAACTCGTCGGGAGTGGTAACTACAATGATTGTGTAAAATTGTAGCACTCTGACATTCTCTAATTACACTTTTTTGCTTGCTGTATATCAGCAGCAAGCACATTATTATATGTATTTGTGTTTTTAAAAAGCATGAAAAGCCTTAACTAATTTAAAATTAAAGCCAAAAGGAAATTAGCATAAAATTTAGTAACTTCTCGCCACGTCTGCAAGATACATTTCATGTAAATATTAACGGAATTTGTGACAAATGTGTCTTTTGAATCGTTCCAAATATGTAATTGTAAAATTTCTTAAGTTTTTAAACTCACAACCCGTATCAATTGTAACAAAACGTTACAATATATCCCGTGTAGAGAGTTTCGGTTGCAAAAGGCTTTGTCGAGACATGACATATTGACAGTCTGTTGTAAACCTGCGAGTGTTGTTGTAAGCCGAGCGCTTTGTTTGTGGAGTAGGTCCGGCTTACAAAAGGTATCCTAATCCACTTAAGATGAGATCTTAAGCCGGAGCCACCGCTGTCCGGTTACATTAAGAAATTGGATCGCGATTGCCACAATACCTATTATGATTTTATTTCATCTGGAAATCTAATACTGTCGAGGGACGATTGAAAACATCCCCTAATATTTGTGTGTAATATTAATATTACGTTCAAATGGAGATATTTATTTTATTCCACCGAATTACTGGATAAGTTTCTGTTACTTATTTAATGATATTGTGTTATGTCAAAACGTTCTGAGAAAAATGTCTAAAAATGTTGTCGGTGGTAGTAGGTTCGTAATTGAAAGTAAGTTATGTATAAACATTTTTAACAAAAGAAGTTATTTTTTATAAAATTCGTTTGATGTCAGAAGAAAAACAGATGATCATATAGCTGAAGTACATATTGCTAGCAGTTTTCGGGACAAAAGCTGCCTCCGGCAACATTCGAAGGACTCTTGTACCGTGTCTTTAGCCGTTGCGTTTTGAAGCGTAAAATTATATTATTTATTTAATTTCTAGTGTATAACAGTCTGTGTCACATACACATTTTTGGGTGTAGGTAGTGGTAGCAAATTAAAGTATTCTGAGAAAACTAAAGTACTCCAGAAAATACGCTTGTAAATTACAATAAACAGCAGTGAATCTACACAGAAACTGTCAATTGCCTTCTCGGAGGAATATTAATAAATAAATGTGCAGAAATATAAAAGCCACAACTTTCCGTTTGTCGAGCGCAGTATTATCAAAGGGCGAGTGTAATAAATATTTTCCGATATTTAGAATGCCATGATTATCATTAGAGAGTGGTCGAGGAGACGAACGCTGTCGTCCGTATTTCCATATTATTTTGTTTGAGCCCTCTCTGCTCACTAACGAGACCTTCTTTGAAAGAAAACCTTTGAAATTGGACGTCATCGCGACGGAATTATTTATGTACCTCAGTAATTGTGGCCTTTGATATTTATTTCATCCACTGTGTACTTATTTACTGCTGCCTCTTTTAGTTTATATATTTTCCAAGTAAATTCATTATCAGGAGGAAAATTTTAGCATCGAAGCGTTGAAATCTTTTGTAAGCAAATGTCAACGTTAGGTGAGTTTCATATTAAAAACATTGTTATAATTATGTTCGTAAAAAATAGTGATATTTCTCATTGGACTCTCTCTTTTTCTCTCATAGGGATATAATATAAACAATTTATAGTCTGATTTACCTCATGAATAGTTCTATTATAATATTCATAGCTTTCACATAGTAATGTATGTTATTACAATGTATTACTTTATATTTATATTACCATATATAATGTCTAACAGAGGGTATTAATTAATAATAATAATAATAATAATATAATAAAAATCTGTTTAAACAATCCAAATAATTAAATTATGTTCTATGTAGTAGTACATTGCTATTGCTGTTTTAAATGGAATTGAAGGAGTTGTAAAATATTGTAAATAGCGATCGATAAGTCAATAGTATTTTATGAAAACCCGAAACTAATTTCCCACTAACAGTCTTCTGCTTAAAGGCTGATTAATGGTATTGATTTGAAAACAGTCGGTACGTATTCTGCCTTGGGAACACATAGACAAGCCATTGTGCCGTCGGTACATAGCAACTTCCATCAACGAATCAAAGCAGATCATTAACAGAATGGACAATGGAGGGGGTGGGTGCGGGGGTAGCACTAGCACTCTCTGTGATTACTGCAACCCTTAACAAAACTATTCGCATCAAGTCATTGTTTGGGCGGGCGGCACGGCGCGGGGCGGGCGGCGTCATTACGGAGGCTTCGTTACTGGGCGGATCTCAGTCGTTAGCTCTAGACAAAGACTCAGTTATGTGCCCGGCCATTTTTGAGTTGTAGTGCGAGAGCTCCCACTTTAACTATTCTAGATACGATTTAGCGATTCTTTGCTTTTTTTTTTTGTTGAAAATAATCAACTTTGACGTAGCTCACACACTGTTTGATTGTATGTTAATTATTTCCATTGCTATAAAGAATAACGTAAAATGTATAATTACAATATTTGTAACAATGTGAGCACCATGATACTACATAATAATATAGTTATCTGCTGCATTGATTTTTATAACACCATGCGCCTATTTTATTTTAGTATACTCGTTTCTTTTTCTAGGTGCGTGTTCTTCACATATAATTATCAAATCAATGTATACAAAATATTGTAAAAACTATTTTATAAGAGTAAGTATGGAGTTTCTTGTCCATTCTTCTCCATATGAAACTACCTTTTGGAAACTAGTATTTTTTTTAATATTATTAACATGTAATTTTGACAGGCTTTTTAATAGGTCTTATTGAAATAAATGATTTGACTTAGGCTTTCACTTTATTCTTGTCTGATGCAAAGACCCCACTTTCAATTTTGGTCTGTTTAGGTTGTTACCAATATTGTTCCAATATCCCTTAATTAGGTATTATTAAGTTAATAACTTGACATTGATCCTCAAATACTTTTACAATTACTTAAGTTATAGAAGACGTGAAGAAACGACGTATACTTGGCAAAATTACGGACAGTCTGAATACAACTGCTAATGATAATAGTAGTTACAAAACCTGCGCACGATGTGTAGTAGGTTTTTTTAATCTAACCTAACTAATGCGTTTTTCTGTAATGCAGTATTGCAAGTAAACAAATTCCTATTGCAAATCTCTTAGTCTATGTTATGTACGTCTCGGAATTCTCGTTCGTTAGCAAATGCATTCCGTAATGAGCGTTTTGTGCGCAAATGTAAAAATATATCAAATGCACTATCAAGTAATGCGGAGAAACCTTCGGTCGCGTTCACGAGCGGAGCGACGAATGTAAAGATTACGTTACAGGTACATACGTATAACAACGTCACAGATAACAACAGTATATAAAACAGTATAATGAGTAATTCACGACTCAGTGCTTTGCACGCATTATATATGTGATGACATGTGTGTTGACATGGATGACAATACCTATTTTTGTAATTCCATAGCTTGGAAGTGACGATTTTTCAATTGCATTACAATTTCCGCTGCTTCGCGTGTATCTCCCCGCACGTCTTATAACGAGCGTCGTAATCATGTCGAGGCGTGAGGCTCACACTCCGGGGAATAATACACTCAGCGCAGGATACGGCGTAATGACGCTCCTTCTATGTACTTATGTCTGTGTGATAGGTACATACACTTACTTCCTGTGTACACGCGGAACAAAGCGCTCCATACAACTACTACAGATTCATTCAATTAACTTATTTACTTCGCTGACGCGTCTTGAAGGATCTTGGTTTGAAATCGTGAGGTGTTGCTTAAAGATACTGTACGTCGCATACTTTTATGGCGTTTTTATGATGATATATGGGCCGATTGACGGTTTAGTTTTTTTTTCTCCCATCTCTCAAGATAGACTCGATCTTATGCTTTTCATGTCCTCTCTCTCTCTTTGGAACATAATTAAACGATTTCATCTATCGACTATAAATTTCTACTCTAACTCCAAAGCGCTTGCTGTAAACTCATAAGGTACATTGGAGTGTTAAAAACATTAAACTTTTTCCTCTGAATATAATTCAGTATCTGGAAGCTACCAAACTTCTAATAGAACATTGTGCTCGTAAAAAAGTTGTTTGAACAAATTTAAAGGAAAATTGGAGGAAATGAAAGAAATTATATGCGATTCAGACGAGTTGGGCGGGCGGACGACTTCGGCACC